CTCTCCGGTTGGCTGGCGGCAGCACGGCTGCGGCAGGGAGGAAGGAGCAGGGACCGACCGTCCCGGCATTCCTACAGTCGGGGCGTTGACCTAAGGAACCCTAAGTAAGGAACGAGGCCCCTTTTTCCCATCAGTTAACCTTCCATTTTCCATCGGCAACTAAAGGAAAACCTAAGGCACAATGCAAAACAACTAAGGAACACCGAGCCCCTTCCCAACGAAAAGGGTTCCTTCTTCAGCGCCCCGATTGTGTAGGCCTACCACGGATTGCTCTTAGAACCCAAGAGTGTTCCAGGAACAAAACCCACCCTCTCAGAACAGAGAGAGAGCGTGATCCACCGCCGCTTCACTGTGGAAGAACAAATTCCCCCCCCCCCTATCCCTCTGGAGCCCGGGGGCCCCCCCCCTCCGAAAATCACCCCCCCTGCTCGAACCCCGTCGCCCCCTTCCCACGGCGAAGCTCCCCCCCCCACTCTGGAAAACTGGGGGGGGGGTCACTATCAGTTCAAGCCCCCACCCCCCGTCCAGAAAACTGGGGGGGTCACTACCTGTTCAAGCCCCCCCCCCCACACTCGCCGCCAGCAAACGACTCTCATGTCCCCACCACCGTCCTCACCACCGTCTTCACCACCGCCCTCACCACTGTCTCCACCACCACCGCCCCACCACTGTCCCCACTGTTGCCACCACTGTCACCACTGTCCCAACCAGTGCCCCCACCATTGTCGCACTGTCCCCGCTGTCCCCACCACTGTCCCCACCACGGTCCCTCCCCCCACTGCCCCCACCACTGTCTCACTGTCCCCAGTGTCCCCACCACTGTCCCGCTGTCCACACTGTCCCCACCGCTGTCCCACTAAGCTGTCACACTGTTCCCACCTCTGTCCCACTGTCCCCAGTGTCCCCACCACTGTCCGCACAGCACCACTGTCCCATTGTCCCACCCTCGTCCTCACCACCGCCCTCACCACTGTCCCCAACACCACTGTCCCCACCACTGGTCCCACTGTCCCCACCTTCCCAACCACTGTCCCACTGTCTCCACACCATTGTCCTCACCACCACCGTCCCCACCACTGTCCCACTGTCCCCAGTGTCCCCACCACTGTCCCACTGTCCCCACTGTTCCCACCATTGTCCCCACTGTCCCCACCAGTGCCCCCACCACTGTCGCACTGTCCCCACTGTCCCCACCGCTGTCCCCACCACGGTCCCAGTCTCCCCACTGTCCCCAATGTCCCACTGTCCCCGCTGTCCCCACCACTGTCCCGCTATCCCCACTGTCCCCACCGCTGTCCCACTGTTCTGTCCCACTGTGCCCACTGTCCCCACCACTGCCCCATTGTCCCCACCACCGCCGTCCCCACCACTGTCCCACTGTCTCAGTTCTTACCGGCATGCAAAACAACTTCATCCAATTGTTTTCCTCCTCGCAAGGTCGCCGCGCACTCGGGCCAACAACGCGGCAAACTTCGCGCGAACACCGTCTCGCACCAACGCGCGCGATCCATGCTCGCACGAATCCGCTAGCCCGCCCGCCGTTGGCCCCGAGAGATGTGAAATGGCACGCTGGGGGGCTGGGGCGGAGTCGTTTGCCCTAGTGCGAAAGTCGCGCGCAAAGAGCTTCGCACGCGCTGCGCCGCGCCATCGCAAGCGCGAGCGCGCCCGCAGCAGCAAGGAACACGCGCGACCGCAGGGGCCGCTGACACACCGGGGCGGCAATGGCGAGGCGCGCGCGAGCGTACGGAGTATCGCGGTGGAGAGCGTCGCCCAGCAGCCGCGGGCGGGCGCGACAGCATCACGCGCCGCGACAGAAACCCAAAGCGCGCTGGCCTCATCGAAGGCCCCCTTGCGCCGAAAAGACGTGATTCGCCCCGCTACAATTGACGAGGTGCGTCCATCGACCACGCAACTCGAAGCCCGAACAATCGACAGCGCCATCGCCGAGAAACCTGAGGCACGAGCGAGGCTCGGATCTCAGATGGCGAATGGGGTCGCGCAGCGGCGCGTTTGGCGACAGCGGGCGCGGGCGGCGCAGACGGGGCGGGGGAACATGATGGGCCACCAAGCTGGATACACCCTCTGGGCGACCTGTACACGTGAAAACACGTGGCTCCAGCGCGGGGCCACCATGTTAGATGCCCACCTGTGTGGCCTGGACGCGGACAAACGTGGTACCAGCTCGGGGCCACCATGTTGGAGGCCCACCTGGGTGCCCTGGACACGCGAAGCGACGTGGTTCCAGCTCGGGCAGAACATGTTAGATACCCCCTGCGTGGCCAAGGAAACCATGAGAACAAAAGCGTGGGAACGCACGTAATCCTAAAGAGGGCCAATGTATGAGAATATGTGTAAAAACGGACGCATTCGTGCCCCTAGAGAGGGCAAATCTAAAGGTAACGCGAGGGTCCATCTATAGGAACATGAGTAAAACAAGCGGATGTGTGCCCCTGGAGAGGGCCAATGCATAGGAACACGCGTAATCCTGGAGAGGGCCAATCTGTAGGAATATGCGTGAAATCCAACGTTTTCGTGCCCCTGGAGAGTGCCAGCCTATAAGTAATGGAAGGGCCAATCTATAGGAACATACGTAATCCGTTCCCCTGACCAAAACGTGCCCCGCACCCTGTGATTTCTCGATCGCGATTCGAAAACCAGCGTTTCGCGAGGGATACCCTCAAAGTCTACTTCGCCGGCCCTACGCGACCTCGTTATTTATCGCAAAAGAAATTCGCCGGCCCTACAGCCGTGAAAACTGGGGGGGGGGAAGGGAGGGGCTAAAAGAGAACCCTGGGCCTAAGCCCTTTCCAGGAAAAAGGAGAAAGGAGAACATAGGCAAGAAGTGATGACAGCATGGGAGGGCCGCAGGAGCTATGCCTGGAGACACCCCAGGAACGGAGAGGACGTCACCTATCCCAATCACAAGATAGGAGAGGAGGAGGAGGAGGAGGAGGAGGAGGAGGAGAGGAGGAGGAGGAGGAGGAGGAGGGAGGAGGAAGAGGGAGGAGAGGAAGGGAGGAGGAGGAGAGGAGGAGGAGGAGGAGGAGGAGAGGAGGAGGAGGAGGAGGAGGAGGAGAGGAGGAGGAGGAGGGAGGAGGAGGGAGGAGGATAACAAAAAGGTGAAGGAGGAGGAGGAGGAGGAAGAGAGGGGAGGAGGAGGAGGAGGAGGAGGAGGAGGAGGAGGAGGAGAAGGAGGAGGGGGAGGAGGAGGAGGAGCGGACGCACCACACATGTGGCACACTTCGAGAAACAGAGCCAAAGGTCCACCCAAGGAAACGCCATGCTCCTCCGACGCCACAAGAAAACCCAAGAGGGCTACAAGAAACTCGCTGACTTTTCTGGGGGTACCGTTGAACGCCCCAACATCGCGACGCGGCCGAAGCGGGGCCGCGAAACGCCGACGATGCGGAGCAGGAGCGCGAAGCAAAACCCACCATAACGGCGGGAAGTCCTACCGAATCCGCAGAACTCGTGTGGTCCTACATTCGTTACGTTACCTCCATGCATACATGGGCACTACCCAATATGAAAATCGCGTGTTCCTGCGTCTCGCTCGTGGCAACCATATTCTAAGGAACTTGTCACCCTTCGACAAAGTTCGTTGGCGCGTTGTGCGCATAACCCCGCTGGCCCGCGCACATCGCAGGAACGGCAACAAACGCCGCGCATCTACACGCACTGGGCGACGCAACGCGGAGGCGACACGAGGGCTTTGAAGCACCAAAGCGCACCGCACGATGAGCACAACGTCCAAATTGCACCAATTCTCGGGAAGCCGAAGAGACCTTTCCCCGCCACGGGTCGCCGAATTTCGTAAGGCCCGCCAAAAAAGATAAAGAAAATCTAAAATATTTCTGCTGTCGGTCAGAGCTGACACTGTCCCCACTGTTCCCATCACTGCCCCACTGTCCCCACTGTTCCCACCATTATCCCACTGTCCCCTCACCACTGTCCCCACCACCACCGCCCCCACCACTGTCCCACTGTCCCCAGTGTCCCCACCACTTGCCCACGGTCCCCACTCGTCCCACCACTGTCCCCACTGTCCGCACCAGTGCCCCCACAACCGTCGCACTGTCCGCACTTTCCCCACCACTGTCCCCACCACGGTCCCACTCTCCCCACTGTCCGATCCTGTCTTTCCCTACCACTGTCCCACTGTCCCTACTCCTTACCACCATCCCCACCACCGTCCCAACCACCGTTCCCACCGCAGTCCCCGTCGTTTGCCGGCGGCGAGGAGGGGTGGGGGAGGGAGGATCGAGGGGTTCGAACAGTGACCCCCCTCCTTTTCATGATGGGCTGGGGGGGGGCTCGAACCGGTAGTGACCCCCCCCCTGGTTTGCTACGGGGGGACCCGCCAGTGACCCCCCCCAGTTTTCTGCCAGCGGCGGCAGAACACGCTCTTTCCAGAGCATGAAGCTGATGTGTTAAAACGAGACAGGCCCAGCCAGACATGTTCTGAACATATCGTGCAAACCACAAGAGGTCATTTGAGAATTCTTTGGTAGGCTTATGGGCAAGACGGAGGGGGGACCGAGCATAGGTGCGCCGACAGCGCACCAGCGCCGTGCCATCCCTCGACCATCCCTCGACCCCCACCTTCCGCAGCCTCCGCCGCGGCCGCAGCTGCACCTGCCGCCGCGGCCGCGTAAGGCTCGGAAGGGGGGGGTCCAGGACAACTCACCAACGCTGACAGCGCACCAGTGCCGGCAGCGCCGCCAGCCCACCAGCTCACCAGAGGGCTGGGCGGCAAGCTGCCAGCGCACCAACGCCGGCGCGCGACAGGCAAACGAGAGGTTGCAGACTGTGCCCCGTGGTTGCATGGCGCAGTTCTCCGGGGCTCTCCTGCGCCGGGGCGCGACCGAGACGCCGCGGAGGATAAACCGAGTAACAGAGGGTGAGGCGGAGGAGGGATGCTGCCTATGATTTGCGTGGTGGCCTGCTGGAAGGCACTCGCCGCCACGGCCAGATTCGACTCGAAATCCGTTCACTCTGGC